TATAATGACTTATACTGTCTTTTTACACATTGCGTGGCATCGCGCCGCGTAAACATAAAACCATGTTTGCATTTGTGATCGGAGAAACGACAAACAACAAGCGCTACTCTACACTGCTCAAAACTCGCGTTTGAATCCTCAGTGGCAAATCCTTTAAATATGAAAACTACTAGTCAGTATTATTTGTCAGCATCATAGACTGTGGTCAGCATGCGCGCCGAAGGGGAAATGGGAACTGAATTCACCGTAACACTGGCATTGTAGGCTGCTCTCCCAGGAAACAGTCCTCGTCCTCCGTAAAATGCGCTGCACACATCTGAATATTTGGTTTGAACTGTTCTGGAACACTGTTGTAAATACAACTTAACCACTGATTTCTAGTTGTGTCCTCTTTTGGAAGACCAAACAAAGTAGTTTTGCTTTCACAACGAAACACACAGCGTCTCCACGATATGGTGGCGGCAACAATACTACAGCGAGAATCAAAGTTACACCTTCTTTCGTTGCGTATACATTTGGGCGGTGTTATGCAAATCTTCCCACATAGTGACGCAGTCATGTGGGAGACTGTTTGAACTAGGCGTTTTAGGAGGGTGTGGACGAGTCTTAACTTTTATAAAGAATATCTCTTTGGGTTTGAGACTTTAGTCTTTGCAACTTTAGGGATCTTATCTATTCACAAACAGCTTGTAACACTCCAAAGAGAAAGGAAAACTTGAAATCACATCATATGGCCCCTTTAAAGTTATAGTTCACATTCAGTTGCTGGTCCCCACTGACTTCCATAGTATAGAGAAAAAAAAATAGTGCAAGTCAATGGGGACTAACTGAAGGTGAACTATCCCTTAAAAAGAGATTCTTACATTTGTAATCACACACCTGGTTCAATAGGGTGCTCTTGTATGAAAGTAGCAGTGACTGTGACAGACTTTCAATGTCAACCCTGCTGTAAAAGATGCGAGATCTAATCTTGTTTGTCATCTTACGAATCTCAGTGGATTCGTTTTAAAGGGGAATGTTTGTAAATGTTTCAGATGAGTGTAGAAGAACTGGAGCAGTATGTGAACCAGCAGTTCGATGAGCTGCATAGGCTGGTTCGCCTGGAGGAGTGGCGTGTCCTGCACCTGGTGGATCTAAAGGAGGCGTTCCTCACTGCCCAGGCCGCTGAGAAGATAACTGAGATTAGTGTCCACACTGAAAAACTGCAGGAGGAAATGGATTCTATCACACAACAGCTGAGTGAATTGGATCAGGTAGAGCAGGATGGAGTTGCCCCTATGTCCCTGGCCCCACTGTTGGCCGCCAGACCACCACGTCCACCTGAAGCTCTTGTGGAGCCCATGCCACTGGTTAGTCACATTTTTATTTATATAGTGCTTTACTTTATGCACATTATTTCAAGGTAGCTTTACAGAAGAAATGGGAGTAATATTCAGAAAAGAGGTTGAGTTCTTTACATTTATACATTTGCCAGATGCTTTTATGCCAAGGCACATTTCATTCAAGGTATACATTTCATCCATTCATGCACTCCCTGGGAATCAAACCCATAACCTTGGCGTTGCTAGGGCCACGGCATACTGGTTGAGCTACAAGAATGCAAGAACAAGTCATATATTAGTTAGGGATATATTTGATAGTCAGTGTAACTGAAGGATATGTAAAAGGAATAATATGTTGTCTATAAGGTCCATCCCATATTTTTTTGCTTCATCCAGTCCCTAAGATTAATGTGTAAGGGGATAGCTTGACATTTTCAGCTGTTCTCCAGCTGACAGTTAGAAGCAATTCATCCTATGAAAAGTTTATAATAGTTTCCCAAAGTGGTCCATGCAATCATTAAGCATCATGCTTGTATGAGCCATCATGGAGGCAACTTGATAATCCATAATATTATCATGTCAGCATTTCATAATTATAATAATGTTTAAAATTTAAAATTTCACAAGACATTTGTAAAAATGAGAAATGTTCTTTTATTTGCCTGTCATTTGGGTCTTCCCTTGTTAACATGCCCTGTATTCAAAGTGAAAGTGGTCTGGTGCTGTCTGTCAATACATCTTGTGGTGCAGAGATGAGTCATGTACTGAAAAATGAAAACTACATTAAAGGGGTCATATGATGCAATTAAAATTTTTCACTCTGGCCGGACACGGCATCACAGTATGGTAAGGGGTGTAACATTTCCGTCACATGTTTGAGGTATTCGGCCAATCACAACGCACTGGATAGCTGGCCAATCAGAGCACACCTCGCTTTTTCAGACCGAGCGTTTCAGAAAGGCGGGGCATAGAGAAGAAACAATAATGTACAGTATGTGGAAAATAATGTGTTTTTTGAACCTTCAACCGCATAAACACATTTCATTACACCAAATACACAAAATAATGTTCTTTTTAGCAACATCATATGACCCCTTTAAGTAAATATAATGGGCGATATATTGCATCACCAACAATTATTGAGGTCATGTACATATAAGTCGATATATTGATAACTGCGGCAGGCCTTGTTTAGGGTGCATAAATAAGGGCTGAAATAATATACTGTAATATCACAGAACAGGAATGACTGATGAATCTGAGCTGAAACTTAATATAGAGATTAACTGAATGGTGTCTAGCAAACAACATGTTACAGTATGATAAACTAGCTTGGGAATTGTATGAATTTTTGTAATATATGGCATACCAGTAGAACAGTGATCTCAAATTAATAACCCTTTTCTTTGTTTGTTTTTTTCCTTTCAGGATCCTGATTTGAGGCTAAGGTAAGAGATCTAAAATAATCGGGTTGTTGTCAGGTTGCTGCGGTTCCTCAGAGTTTGACCTGCAGGGGCATTTCAGTGAAAGGGTCATGATCTGCATTATTATTATTATTATTATTAATATTATCGTTATTATTATTATTATTATGTAATTGTTAAAAAATTATAATTTTATCATTTCTTTTTTTCTGATGGTATATATCGTTACCATGGTACAAAGTGTCTGTCGTTAGAGATGTTGCTAAATTGTTGATTTTGTGGTATGAAAATATATCCTTACAGCACAGTACTACTTAAAAGTTATACAACTGACCTAAGAGTTATAACGAAACATGCATGAGAGTAGGGCCAGGCTAGATGTTAAATAGAGTTAAAAGTGCAATAAGCAGTGAAAAAAAACTTGTGGTACATAGACATAGACCCAACGTGTACTCTCTCAGACAACGTGCAATCACGAATTCAGTTCTCTTTTGCATCTTGATTGCATCAAATACACACATAATTATGTCAAATGCCTGTCGTGTGAAGTATTCACGTGAAAAAAAGCCTCTAACACTAGCTTGCTCTTTTCGTTTTCTATTCTATCTGTTTTTATTTTTATTTAATATATAATAAAAATAAAAAAAAACCTTGCTTACATGTACTGCATTAGGCTAACTGAGACTTGTTATAGCACTTGCGTATCATTGCTCTTTTATTGATTTTGATTGCTTCCATTGTCCTCATTTGTAAGTCATTTGGATAAAAGCATCTGCTAAATTACTAAATGTACATGTGAACACAGTCTTCCATAAGTTAAATTAACAAACAGTTGTGAAAAAAACAAATGTGTTTCAGTGTATTGGATCCGTGCAGTCAGTCTTAGAACCTGTTTACACCTGATATTAAGATGCATTTTGGTGCAGGGCCTTAAAGGGACAGCAGTCTAATAAACCTGCTGCTCTCTGTGTCATTAATGTTAATCAAACAACAAAAGACAGAGAAAATCACTCACTGTTCTTGAATGAATCACTTTTGGATCTTTAATAAGAATCAGTACACATTTGATTCATATATTTAAGACTATACAGTGTTAGTTATACATTTGATTTTTCAATTTATGTAGTATTTTTTTATTACATGTTAAATAGGGGTGTAAATCGGATGGTTCGTCATGATACAATATCGATTCTCATACCCAGCGATACGATATTTGCTGATACTTCAAAAAATTCTATGATACGATTCGATACAGGAGAATATCGATCAATATTATTATATTATATACCTATTTTAAACAACCATCTACATTTTTATTAACTCACAGATGCAACCAAAACATATAACATGAACATTTTATCTTACATTTTCACATCCTGTTCCTCAATTGGGACATTCACAACAAAAAAGTAGGCCTTTTTGTTTTTAAATAATAAAGAAAAATAAATATTTGAAAAAAAATTAAGTCGCCAACAAGATCAGTAATTATAAGTGTGTTTGTATGGGGGTAGAATTGTTGCTTAATTCCAAATAAATAGATTATGATCCACAAATAAATAGAATGAGATCCACAAATAAATCTACAAATGTGTGCAGCTATCTACAAATGCACAGGACGCGATTCACAAATGCGTGCAGCTATCTACAAATGCACAGGACGCGATTCACAAATGCTTGCAGCTATCTACAAATGCACAGGACGCGATTCACAAATGCTTGCAGCTATCTACAAATGCACAGGACGCGATTCACAAATGCTTGCAGCTATCTACAAATGCACAGGACGCGATTCACAAATGCGTGCAGCTATCTACAAATGCACAGGACGCGATTCACAAATGCGTGCAGCTATCTACAAATGCACAGGACGCGATTCACAAATGCGTGCAGCTATCTACAAATGCACAGGACGCGATTTACAAATGCGTGCAGCTATCTACAAATGCACAGGACGCGATTCACAAATAAATGCCAGGCAAAGTTGTGGTTGTGACATAAATATATATTTGTGAATATGTTTTTTATTTGCAAATCTCATTTTATTTATTTGCGAATTTAATTCATGTTTGTGAAACTTTAAGATTTATTTGTGGATCTCATTCTATTTATTTGTGGATCATAATCTATTTATTTGGAATTAAGCAACAATTCTACCCCCATATGTTTACTAGGATATTCGCCAAGGCACACACTGATGTAATTTGGTCTGTTTTTCTTCATCCATGCACAAAAAAACAGAAGAGAGCTCAAGCATTAGCACGCTGTCGATGCGGCTGTCTCTGTATGCGTGCGCTTTGGATGTGTGCGCGTGTCACTGCGTGCTGAAAACTTCTCACAAGCGCTCGACAATTCCGTCAACAATCCCGAGCGTCTTTTCCGCTCACCCTTCAGGCAGTCTTATCGTGCCGACTCGTGAGTTTGAATGAGAATGCACGCGTTGGCGGTAATGCATAGACTGACATTGGTGAAAATGTGGACTGTGTCAGAATAAGGTGCCTATTTATACTACAGATATCGATATTTTACGTGTGGCATCGATGCGTCGTCATTTAATCAATGTATATCGATGGATCGTTACACCTCTAATGTTAAATAAACGTGCTGAATAAAATTTATCATGCCATGAAATAAGATTTTGGTTATATCGCCCATTCCTAGTTGTGACAGTACTGTCGGATCCAATATAGTCGGCACTGCATCATCTTTTATTTTCAGTCTCTGAAAAGCCTGTGTTGAACTTGTTTAAAAGCAAATCCACAGTAAACTGAAGTAAATAAATGAACAGTGTCTTACTGACACAATCTGGAACTTCTTTAAAAATAAAGTTCATCCACTCTTTGCTAATGTTACACCAGGGTTCCTCAAATCTTGCCCTGGAGGGCCAATGCGCTGCAGAGTTGAGCTCCAACCCTGATCAAACTCACCTACCTGTGATTTTCTAATGATCCTGAAGACATTGATTAGCATGCTCAGGTGTGTTTGATTAGGGTTAGAGCTAAACTCTGCAGGAAAGTGAATCTCGTGGGCCAGATTTGAGGATCCCTGTGTTACACAACAAACTAAATCACACTATTAATGCAGGGAGCAGGACTGAATGCAATTGTTAAATAACCGTTTAACAAGTGACATAATAATGAATCATTACTGCTTAAAAATGTAAGTAGAAAATTCTACTGTTAAAGCATGAAATAAGATACAGAATCAGTTAATTTGAGTTTAATGTGGGTATATTATCAATAAAGTAATCATTAATCATTTGTAATTATTAAAAATATATATTAGCCATTTATATTAATGTGATTCAGAGATGAAGCCCATAATACTAATGTTTTCCACAAGGCAGCCACAGGATAGCAAATCCTTCAAGATAAAGCAGAGGTGGGACTTTCAAGTCACAAGCAAGTCTCAAGTCAAATCCCAAGTCCTCAAAGAGTTAAAGTTAATGAGATAATTAAGTGATTAATTAAATGATGATTTAATTAATTAGTAAGTAAGCATTTGTAATGAACACCTGCTGTTAACAGTGTAGCAACTCATAATGTAATAACTGCACAGAATGTAAAAACTGCACATAATGTAATAAGTATTACATTATTATTGTAATAAAATGTTCATAATGTAATAATTTTCTCAAAACGTAATAAAACCTTGAGCTCATAATGTAATGACAATGACAAACATGCAAAAAAATAAGAAATCAGGAAGGGGGCCAACACTTTTTCACATCACTATATATATATATATATATATATATACTGTAAAAAAATTATATATTCTGGGTAAAAAAACATATATCGATATCTCGATTATAATCGATTCTCAGTTTTACGAAACAATATCGATTCTTAAATCACAAAAATCGATTAGTCTAGCCTGTTTTGGAACATTGAAGGGCACTTCCCATCCAATAAATCACAATAAGCATTGTGCTTTGGTACTTTTAATATGAAACAAAGTCTCAGATTTCAAATTCTGTCCACTGTATTGCAGTATTCAAACAAAAAATGCCGTTTTGGCGTTGTTTTGTGGAGTGATCACTGTAGCATGGCGCACCTCAGTTCAATAAAAGTGGCAATGCGAGGCGCACGTGAATTGATCATCTCCTCCCCATTAATACCAGTTTCAGCACAAAATAAACATTACTAAACATCTGAAGGTAAGTTAAAAGAAAGAGTACAACTTTACAATCCATCTCCTGTCTCATGTAATCGCTCAATCAGTGTTTCAGCCGTGCAAAGACGCAATATAACGACTTGTAAACAATGTCACTTAACGTCACATTTACCTCAGAAAAAACATATTCGGTGACAATAAACTCATTAGTAAGCTACAAGCCCGATTCCAAAAAAGTTGGGACACTGTACAAATTGTGAATAAAAACAGAGCTCTCATGAAATCCAATCATTTCAAAATGTCTCACTTTCAACATTTGATATGTTATCTATATTCTATTGTGAATAAAATGTAAGTTTATGAGATTTGTAAATTATTCCATTCCTTTTTTACTCACAATTTGTACAGTGTCCCAACTTTTTTGGAATTGGGTTTGTAGAAAAATAAACTGTAGAGAGGCGCATTTTGCTAAATATGCAACATATAACATTCATTATAACTTTTACTGTTCTTCAAAGTTACATTTCATTCAGTGTAATTTAAGCAGTTGTATAGCTTGGTAGGGGCTCTTGATGCGCTGACGCCAGCCTCAGTCCACTCCTTGTGAAGCTCCCCCAAATTCTTGAGTGGATTTTGCCTGACAATCCTCTCAAGGCTGCGTTTATCCATTTTGCTGGTGCACCTTTTCCTACCACACTTTTTCCTTCCGCTCAACTTTCTATGAATATGCTTGGATACAGCACTTAGTGAACAACCAGCTTCTTTAGCAATTAACTTTTGTGGCTTCCCCATGATTGTGTAGCCTACTGACCCAGACTGAGAGACCATTTAAAGGCTCAGGAAACCTTTGCAGGTGTTTTGAGGTAATTAGCTGATTTGGGTGACACCATGACTTTCCAATATTGAAATTTTTCACAATAATTTTCTGAGACACTGAATTTTGGGTTTTCATTATCTGTAAGCCATAATCATCAAAATATTTGAAACACTTGAAATATTTCACTCTGTGTAATGAATCTATATAATATATGGGTTTCACTTTCTGAAATGAGTGACAAAAAATATTGACCTTTTTCATGATATTCTAATTTTTTTAGATGTACCTGTAGTGTACAGGTGCATCTCAATAAATTAGAATGTCATGGAAAAGTTTCAACTCAAATTCAACTCAAATTGTGAAACTCGTGTATTAAATAAATTCAATGCACACAGACTGAAGTAGTTTAAATCTGAAGGTGTACACACACACACACATATATATATATAGTACCTGTAGTGTACAGGTGCATCTCAATAAATTAGAATGTCATGGAAAAGTTTCAACTCAAATTCAACTCAAATTGTGAAACTCGTGTATTAAATAAATTCAATGCACACAGACTGAAGTAGTTTAAATCTGAAGGTGTTGGTTCTTTTAATTGTGATGATTTTGGCTCACATTTAACAAAAACCCACCAATTCACTATCTCAACAAATTAGAATACTTCATAAGACCAATAAAAAAAACATTTTTAGAGAATTGTTGGCCTTCTGGATAGTATGTTAATTTACTGTACATGTACTCAATACTTGGTAGGGGCTCCTTTTGCTTTAATTACTGCCTCAATTCGGCGTGGCATGGAGGTGATCAGTTTGTGGCACTGCTGAGGTGGTATGGAAGCCCAGGTTTCTTTGACAGTGGCCTTCAGCTCATCTGCATTTTTTGGTCTCTTGTTTCTCATTTTCCTCTTGACAATACCCAAGATTCTCGGTTGATTAGCTGATTGGCATGTCACCATATTCTAATTTGTTGAGATAGTGAATTGGTGGGTTTTTGTTAAATGTGAGCCAAAATCATCACAATTAAAAGAACCAAAGACTTAAACTACTTCAGTCTGTGTGCATTGAATTTATTTAATACACAAGTTTCACAATTTGAGTTGAAGTACTGAAATAAATGAACTTTTCCATGACATTCTAATTTATTGAGATGCACCTGTATATGGCCTACCACTTTTAAAACAGGGCCCTGTGACTCACCATTATATCTATATGATAAAAATTACAGGCCTCTCTCATCTTTTTAAGTGGGAGAACTTGCACAATTGGTGGCTGACTAAATACTTTTTTGCCCCACTGTATATTGATTTAGCTACTCCAAAGTTTTAACTTCTTGTTCATGTGCAGGTTTCTTTGTTTTGTTTATGTTTGAATGTAAATGAGTCATTTTCCACTTACAGAGCAGCTAATCAAAGGAGGGCCCCAGAAGATCCTTCAGGAGATGAAGACAGAGAAAATGCATATATTGGGCATGCACCCTAAAACTAGCAACCATTCTGTCACCAGCTCTCCCATCTTCTTTTCATACCTCACTTGGTGGCATAAAAACTATGACTATATCTGAATGTAACTGTGCTGATGATATTGCTTCATTTTAACCAGTTATTTGAATATTTGCAGCTAATTGTTTTATGTTGAACCAATTTATTTCCTTTTTAATGAAAGGCAATAAAGTAATATGTAAAAGCTGAGGAGGCACAAACAAAACTAAAACTGAATATTTTGTCTGTTATTTGTATTGTGTTAAACAAACAAGATTGTTTTAAACAGCTTAAACCAGTTACCATGTATTTTTGTTTTTGTTTGTTTAACATTTGCTTTCTAAAAATTATTTATATACCACTCCTGGGTTAATTGTGCGATTCATGAAATGCGGTCTCATACCATACAAGCTCACATCATCATGCTATACTTTGATTCTATTTGAGCTTAAATGCAGAAGATTATATAGTTGGTCTAGCTGTGCATTGTTTCTAATCCATTTGTTGGCTGCTTTTTCTTTCAGAAAGAAATGTACCATTGCTTGCGTCACTGATGCCCAGTGTACCAAATGTGTTTCAACCCTGATCGTGACACTTTGCTAAACCATTATTGTGTTTAAGTATTAGTGTGTTGTGTCTGCAATTGGCTTGTATGCGTTTTCTCAATATTGGAGGGACCACCAGGTCCTGTTTATATATATATATATATATATATATTGAGTATCAAAACTAAATCTACAAATGCAGCAAAACACTGAGAGAAAGATTTGCTGCATTAGTAGATTTATTTTTGATACCTAAACTATGCTTTGCTAAGGGGAAACATGGCATTATATTTTTGATATGGTCTTTGATAGTGTGCAACAATTAGATTGGTTATACTCAACAACTTCTGCTTTTGTTCTGATTATTCCTTGCTGTAAACAAATAAAAAAAAGTTTCTGATCTTTTTCATTTGTTCATCTGAAGGCTGGTCATTTTCACTATTGCTAGCACATAGCACATACCATCAATGAATGTATAGGTTAAGCTCTCAGAAAAACAGAGTAGAAGGTTAGGTGTTAATTTATGTCGCTATGTTGTTGAAATCGCTTTGACGATTTAATTTACTGGTCCTAAACTCCTTCCATAATCTGATATGATGATGATGGTATGACAGATTTAATAATCAAAGATATCAATGCCTTTGTGGACTGAAATACTCAGTCAGCCAGTGTGCAAGCACTCAAAGCACTTTCCTTAAAAATAAAAATAAGTGAAATAAATCCCTACCTGTCCGCAGCTTCAGAAGCAAACAAAACCAATGCAACCTGAGTAAACACATGAGTGAGGACGCAGTGTCTCGTTCCCTACTCAGGGAACCATGGTTACATAAGTAACCCGAGACGTTTTTTTTAAGCTAAAAAAAAATCCAACACCTATCAGCCATGTGACTTGCTCTCTTGAAATTAAAATGTGTTTGTGCCACCTTCAGCAGCATTAATTGCAACCAAATGCTTCTGATAACTGGATGTTAGTCTTTCACGGCACTGTGATGGAAGTTTGGCCCACTTTTCTTTGCAGAACTGCTTTAGTTCAGCCCCGCTGGAGGGTTTTCAGTGTCCTGCTGCATAATCCCGTTGAGCTTGATCTTCTGATTACAGACTGAAAACCTGACATTCTCCTTTAGGATTTTCTGTTAGAGAGCAGAATTCATGTTTCCTTCAATTATTGCAAGTTGCCAGGCCCTGAAGCAGCAAAGCATCTCCACACCATGTTTACCATGTTTGACCATAGATATGAGGTTCTTTTTTTCAGTATTTGGTTTACATCAGATGTAATGGGACCCCATCCTGCAAACAATTTGACAAAATTCAGACAAGCATTAATATGCTTCTGGGATAGCAGGGTATTTTACCTCACCACTCTTCCATGGATGCCAGTTTTGTCCAGTGTCTTTCGGAAAGTGAAGCCAAGTACATTGACCTTTATTGATGCAAGAGAGGCCTGCAGTTTCTTCAGGTATTGTCCTTGGGTCTTTTGCGACTTCCTGAATGGTCATGTCACAGAAAATGTCACTGTGCTCTTGGAGGAATTTTAGAAGGTCAGCCATTTCTGGGAAGGTTTACTACTATCCCAAGATTTTTCCATTTGAAGATAAAAGCTCTCACTGTGGGTTTTTTTCTTCTTCAACATTACTGGAATTTCTTTCACCTTTGGCATAGTGTGTTACTGGGAACGACCTATTTAACCAACATCCTGCTGTTGAAAAAGTTTTCATGTAAGTGTTGATTTAATTTGAAGTCTGACAGCAATCAGGTCTAGTTGCATCTAGTCCAGCTGAACCCCATTATGAATGCAGTATCGTAGATTTAGAACAGTTGGTATTAGATAATGTTTTTGCTTCAATAAATAACATTGTCATTTAAAAACTATTTTGTGTTTACTCAGGGTGCCTTTGTTTTATGTTAGACATTGTTTTCATTTCTGAAACTATTTACTATGAAATATATACAAAAACAAAAGAAATAAAGGTGGAGGCAAACAATGTTTCACATCTCTGTACATTCTATAGTAATTGTAAATTTTTCCACTTCAGTTTTACTATAAATGAAAAAAAAAATGAATCAATTTACCTTCAATAAAGATGCCGCGTCAATTGCATCTGCATGATTTCTCACTGACATGTCCAATTCAGAAACTCGGGTCTAAAAAGGAAATCCTGAATTTCCAACTGATAAGTACAAATTTGTGGTTGGATTCATGTGCGATCAACTTGTAGAATACAATATTTGCGACTACTTGAACAGACAAAGTGTCCGCTTTTGGCATATAGAATGTTCTATTTCTATCTTCCCAACCCATTGTCAGGGGCGGATTTAGTGATTTGGGGGCCCCAGGCAAAATACAGGAATGGGGCCCTATACAATTTCACACATTTACAACCTTGAGGTTCCTTTCACTGTTGCTCGCTGCTGCACGACTGTGCCCCATAGTTGTGTCTAATCTTTTAGCTTCAATCAAACCACGATATGGACTAGTGTATGTGAATATTAAATGGCAAAAACACTATTTAGCTACTACAGACGACAACCGCGAGCGTTGCGCATGCTTAAATAGCAAACTAGCAAACGAAACGCTTGTTTGAATTTTGCGCCATTCATTCCGTCACTTCACACATTTACCAGTAAATTCCGTTTTTATGAATAGATTCCGGGATTCCGTCCCCCATTTTCTACATCGCCCTACTTTTGCTAAGAAGCACGTTCAATGCGGACGCACAGACGGTTGTCGTGGTAATGAACACCAGAGCAACCACTTGTGCGTCCGCACTGAACGCGCATCTCGCATATAAAAAGCATTTTAGGGGGCCCTTGGCTTTTGGGGGCCCAAGGCGGTCGCCTACCTTTGCTTAATGGTTAAGTCCGCCTCTGCCCATTGTGATGTCCTTTTGTAAACATTTTCCCTGAACAAGGCTCATGTTATAATTCAGTTTGTTTGACTGCGCCTTTGCTATGGCTATGCAATCGCAAGTACACTTGACGCTTCCACTGCTCTAGGTGGTCATTTTTCTTAGCGTAAGTTTTGCATTTCACTGTGTTCCAAACTGTGACCTGTGAATTTAATTTGTTCTGAAGACGTATTTATGACCAACAGAATATTTATACATCATGGCATGACTTTCTAGCTGAATTAAAAGGACTTTAAAGAGTTGGAGTTATACTTTATTGTCCTTTTCAGGAAGTTTGTCTTCAGCCTAAAACGAAAGGGGTCGAAGTGATGTATATTCCTTTACACCCAGAACTGTCATAGCCATTTTAAAAAGATGTGCATGCTGTGATTTTGACAAACAAAAGACTCCCATACCAATCTTGCATCCAATAACTTAACAGAATACCCAGAACTGCTTGCTAAAATAAGAACATAATTCTGATTTGTGCCAAAGAGATATTCATCATGAGCTTTACAAGTATAGGAGCAGTCAATGACCTAAGTACTTACAGTGCCGTGAAAAGGTTTTTGCCCCCTTTCTGTTTTTTTTATTTTTTATTTTTTTGCATATTTGTCACATTTAAAAGATTCAGATCAAAAAATTTTAATATTACACAAAGATAATGCAAGTAAATACAAAAAGCAGTTTTTAAACGAGGGTTTCATTTATTAAGGGAAATAAGCGGTCAAAACCTCTCCAGTTAAATCATGAAAGAACATGTGATTAACCATGTTATTTTAGAAAGCTGAGTTAGCTGGCACTAGCACACTCAGGCCTGATTACTGCCAGACCTGTTGAATCAAGAAATCACTTAAATAGAACCAGTCTGATAAAGTGAAGCATGCTTAAAGAGTAACACATCATGCCACAATCTAAAGAAATTCAAGAACAGATGAGAAACAAAATAGTTGACATGTATCAGTCTGGAAAGGGTTATAAAGCCATTTCTAAGGCTTTGGGTCTCCACCGAACCATGGTCAGAGCCATTATCCACAAATGGAGAAAACTTGGGACAGTGGTGAACCTTCCCAGGAGTGGCCGGCCTACCAAAATTACTCCAAGAGCGCAACAACAACTCATCCAGGAGGTCATAAAAGAACCCAGAACAACATCTAAAGAACTGTAGGCCTTACTCGCCTCAATTAAGCTCAGTATTCATGATTCAACAATAAGAAAGAGACTGGGCAAAAACAGCATCCATGGGAGAGTTCCAAGGCAAAGGCCATTGTTGGTCAAAAAGAACACAAAGGCTCGTCTCACATTTGCCAAAAAAATATCTTGATTATGCCCAAGACTTTTGGGCAAATATTCTGTGCACTGATGTGACAAAAGTTGAACTTTTTGGAAGGTGTGTGTCCCGTTACATCTGGCGTAAAACCAACAGAGCATTTCATAAAAAGAGCATCATAGCAGCAGTCAAACATGGTGGAGGTAGTGTGATGGTCTGGGGCTGCTCTGCAGATTCAGGACCTGGACGACTCGCCATAATTGATGGAACCAATTTGGCAGAGATGGTCAAGAAGAGAGAGATTACAAAATAAAGAACACTTTAACACAAAATTATAAATCGACTACGCCACCCGGAATACACCGGGAAATAACAGCCTTATCAAAGGCACACAGGTTCGCTACCAAGGCAGGGTGAGTATGGAGACGTGGACTGGAAGGATAAAGACAACAGGCACTTTATTGAAATATAAAAGTAAAAAATACACAATACATTGATTCCACACAAGGTCTCAATCACCAAAGCACAAGTCCAAATTATACATACAGATACACAAAAAAAAACAATAGAAAGTAAAGGAGATGGCCAGCAGGGGTCCTCAGCCTTCCACCCAACCCTCAACAAAAAAAGAGAAAAGAAACCCACAACACAATTGTGAAAACACAACAAGCTTATTAAGCACAGCACTCTATGTATGCACACCAGTACATTACAACCACAGCTGGGCTCTCCCACTATAAAGATCGACTGAAAAATACAATACAAACAAAAAAAGAAATAAACAAATCACAAAATACAGAAAACAAGGAACACAATACAAAATTAATTACACACTCCAAAACAAACAAAGGAAAAAACAATTATAGGCCAACTGTTGTAGCTAACCAAATAAACAACTTAATACTTTTCACAGAAAAGAACGAGGAAAAAAAAAAGACAACAGATAGTCAAATATCTGCTCAGAAGAAAACAAGTAACAGAAGACAAAATCACTTCAATAATAACTCAAACGCACACATGCACACACGGCGTAAACACAAACTCACGAACAATAACAAAATGAATAAAGATGAGACCCAGGCAAAACAGCAGTGGATGTATTCTGCCCCAAACTAACAATCACCGAAACCCTTGCACGTGCAGTTACCTGCCGAACATGGAATAGTGAGTTACTCACAATAAACTGAGAATTAAAACAAGGGAACAAAAATTATACATTCTGTGTACTGCACTTTTCTTAATTTCGGAATGA